TATGTATGTATGTATGTATGTATGTAAGTAGGCTTGCAGGTATGCATATATATATGTATATATATAAAGTTTGCATATTTTCATTGTATGCACGTAAGCTTATTGGCATATATTTCTATATCAGCTGAATTTTACAGTCATCTGTATATGCAGATCTATACGCTCATACATATGACTATTCATATACAAGCCTTGGCATGTTTGCTCAGATTATATGACAGCGTACTGCTGGCTTCATTTTCTCTAGATAACCACCTAGGATGAAGTTACTACTGCTGCTGCTCTCAGCCCTTGCGTTCTATGACCTCCATTGCAGTGGTGCTCATACCACACTCTCCGCACCTCTCTGCGCAGAACAATCCCACTCAAGGCCTGATCCCCACAGAAGACATAATGGTGGACTTTGTACTGGAAGCCTTGAAGCCAAATCTGAAGGCCAATGGGGGTATGGTAGAGGCTAAGCGCGTGTGCTATGTGGAGGGGCGCAGCAACCTCGTCCTCAAAATCCAAGGCAAAACAGACCGCCCGGTGTCGTTTGTGGGCAGGTACATGCTTCATTAGGGTTTAGGTTTTAGCGCTCCATCAGGGTGTAGGGTTTAGGGTACCCTTGCCTCGCACGGGTGGCCCATGGCTTGACCTGTACCTGTTCTCGTGTGATGTGGACTTGCTAGGCTATCTTTGTTTTAGGTTTAGGGTTTAGGGTACCATTGACCTGCACCTGTGCTCGTGTGATGTGGGCTTGCTAGGCTTTCTTTGTTTTAGGTTTAGAGTACCATTGACCTGCACCTGTGCTCGTGTGATTTGTGCTTGCTAGGCTTCCGTTGTGCGTGTTTATTTGTAGGGCGTTGGCTGTAGTAGCGGTCACAACGCAGTCACTGAGTGGCACCACTGCAGCCCAAAGGTGAGTACATGGACGTGGTGATGTGTTGCTACATTCTTCGGATACTTCATCACATTCTGCAGTAGCAATCTCTTTCCTCAGATGACTCATCAGAGACACAACCTTTGAGCATCAGATTAATGGCCACACTAACAGACACATATACGCTGCCTATGTACCTCATGATATCACACAGACACACCCTTTGATCACCTAACCGACACATACACGCTGCCTATACCCCTGCTATGTATTAGGAAGCCCTCTCACACTCACCATAGTCAGTCACACAGTGGTCTCGAGTGTGTAACTATCTCTTCTGTACATTACTTGTATGGTCTTCACAGTCATCTGGATGTTGTGCCTGCTAATCCAGATGTGTGGGAGCGAGACCCCTTCACCTTCAGCCTCGAGGGCGATCACATGTACGGCCGAGGCACCACAGACTGCCTGGGCCATGTGGCACTCATCACCACGCTCTTCAATCAGGTGGGTGTGTGTGTGAGTGTGTCTTTAATCAAGTGTGTGTGTGTGTGTCTTTAATAAATGTGTGTGTGTGTGTGCTTAATCAAGTGTGTGTGTGTGTGTCTTCAATCAAGTGTGTGTGTGTGTGTCTTTAATCAAGTGTGTGTGTGTGT